AGATAAGCGGGTGGGAGGAAATAAGTGCAGGCTCAGGCTTGTCTCAGCCTGACTACTCCCCTGCTCCCACTGCCCAGCCCCTCTGCAAGGAGGTAAGCACTGTAGTAAATAAATTAGTTTTTTGAAATTGCATGCTGCATGGTTTCCAAAAGGGATGGAGGGGTGCCTTGAGTCCAGTGCATAATGTCTCAAGTCCAAACAGGGGTGCCTTGAGTGAAACAAGGGGTGCCTCAAGTGTAAAATGATTGAGAACCACTGGCCTAAGGTTATGCAAGAAGTGCGAAACAAGAGCAAGGCACAGAACCTAGGTTGCCTGATTTCTCCTTGACTGCCTTAAGTAGAAGTTTATCCTCCTACTCACGCACACAAATGCTACTGCGTCTGTTATAACCCCTTCCAGGGTCTTTCTCTATGGACTCCAGGTTGGTGATAGTGGCTCCAAATGCTGGGTCCCACATGCTTTGAAGTCAGTTGTGTATAGGATGAATCTCATCACTGTTTCTAGAACCCTGAGATTCTGGGTGCACTTCCAGGCTCAAACGTTTTGTCTGAGCACTTCTCTGAGATGTGGGACACTGAGCATCAGTCACTTTAAGCTCTGAATTCAGTGCCTCAGACCTTCCCACCCCTCTAGATGCTTTCACATAGTACCTCGAAATTCCACAGTGCTGAGGATGCCTGCCTTCTAGTTTCACTGCTTCAAGAAATGATGCAGCAAGAAAGCAAGAAAGGCCTATTTGGGGGATTTCATAACCTTAGTCACTGTATTGTGAAAAGGCATAGAAATCTTTGCAAAATAACAACAGACCTGAGATCAACTCTCCCTAATCTGGTTTCATCCTTTCTTTAAGTGTGGGATTTGTTTCCTTGTCAGGATAGGCAGATCCCACTCCCCCTCACCCCCAACCACCCTTTCTCCCTTTCTCTCCAGCCCTTTCTTCCTACATGTGATGAAAGACAGCGCTACCCTTTCTCTTAAATAGTTTCTTTCTGTGGCCATGTACTCAGGTTGAGAAATATCAGATGTATCATCTGTGCTTGTGTCCCTCTACAGAAAACCCATTGTTCTATGAGCCTGGCCCAGCATCCAAGGGCAATGGCCATAGATTGCTCAGGGTAATAATCCTTCAAGAAGGTGTCCTAGCTGTAATGAAGGTCTAGGTCAAAGTTCTCCCATGCTAAATGATGCATTGGGCTAATGCAGTTAAGGCACACAAGTGTGTTATCTGGACTACTATGCAATAACCTTGCCTTGGTAAGGTTAAACAGGAACTCAGCACATACAACAAAATGTAGTTCCTCACCTAAAATGGAGTTCAGTCTTTGACCCAGACATAACCCGCTGTGTCACAGCACATACCTGTTAGAGCTACTAGGTATGACATTACTATTATTTATATTGTTGTAGTGCCAGGGGCCTCAAACAATCATTGGTGTACCATTGTGCAATACAAATACTGTTATGACAGTCTTTCCCCAGAGACCTCACAATCCAAGTTTTATAACAAGCTGTTCCAGGTGGATAATACAGTGAAACAAGAAAGATGCACAGGATGTGGCACAAGTAAACAAACGTTGCTCTCCAGAACATGCAGTTACCTTAGCCTGCCATCTACACAGCCATAGGTAAATTCAGCCTGGGTGTAAACAGTCACAGTCTACACTGAAGAAAAAAAAGGCTAAGTTTAGTCCTATATCTTACTTTTGGATTCTGCCAATGGTATGGAGCATTGGAGCTTAATTACATGTCTGACCAAAAGAGATAAAGGGTGATGCCACCCGTAAGGACCTAAATTAGAGACTTATTCACAGACAGTCAGCATATCCATGAGGACTGGAGGTATCGAAGTTACTCAGCATCACAGAGGAAGCAACAATTCTGTTCACTCAGGGGCCAGGCAGTCCTTGCTGGTGGCATTTATTAATACACTTAAAATGTCCACAGCTAATGCAGGAGGCCATTTATATTGGATAGATAGCCCTAGCCATTTGCCATCCCAGTGGATTTCAGTGACAAAGGCATTATTTATGCCTTGTTAAGCACACTAGTTACTTCTCAGAAGTCAGCTGTGTGTGTCTTGTTAAGGGCAATTACAGTGGTTGATTAAAACATACAGCTAGAAAGAGCTAGATGTAACAAGCTACACGTTTATTATTCTGTAAATATTTTTAAAAATGTTAATGTGTGTCATGTGCTATTTTGTTTCGTGGTGACTTAGGGGTATCCTGAATACCAGAATAATGTTTGTCATGTGCTACATGGTTTTATCATCCAGCTTATCTAGCAGGCACACAGTGTTAACTCAGTGTACCCACTGTAAGGGTAGGATTTGTTATGGATTTCTTCTGTGCTGGATCTACAGAGGGCACCGACCTGTGTCAGCCCTACCTACAGAGCCTGGATGCTTTGCTCAGGCTGTAGAAACTCATGCCAGGTCCTCAGTTCAACAGCTAGTGTCAGATGTCTTGGTTGCTGTTGCATGCGTGGAGGCTGGTTGAAGATTCAGTGTATTGTAGCTTCCCCTGCCCAGAGGGCCTACATAACATACACTGTAGCCAGTGTCTCAGCAGGACAGAGAGCCTGTCCCCAGCATCTGAGACCCGCAACATCTTCAGTGCTGACAGCGCCTATATACGGGGGGCTGACACTGGAGCTATCGAGATCTGAAAGCCCCTCTTTTACAGCTTGAGTTAAAAGGCCAGGCATGGTAAGGGACTCGTAACCTCTGTGGATCAGGTACAGAAGACGACACATTACTATACCTGTCCAGCAGATCACAAGAGTTTTGTGATATATTCCTTCTGAACTGAAATCACTGTGTTTGATCATTCAGACCTCTGCACAGCCATCACGCAGTAATAGTTCTTAGTCATTAGTAACTTAAAACACATTCACACTAGCAACCGAATGCTAAAAAGTGCTATCAGTGCTTTGAATGCTACTGTGTCTTGGTTTTACGTGAATCTACTTGTTTCAATCTCTTTGCTCACATTTATCCTCCATGCCAATCAAACACCTGAAGTTCCATAATCTGCTTCCCCTTTATCATTTCAAGTGGCAGCAAACGTTGAGAGCCTAGCCTGAGGGAGCCTTCAGGAACAGGCGCCCTGCCTACCTCCATCTGATCTGCTCCCTTTTAAATTTCCTCTGAATGTCTTTGCTACCTCCCTCTCTCAGCCCTTTTCACACTCTCTGCCCCTGCAAGAGTATTACCATTTAGGCTGGGATTTACAAGGTGTTTTTAAGGAGTCTAGTTCCAAAAATTCCCACTGACTTGTGCTCAACCATCTTTAAGAAGCCCAGTTCAACTCAGCCTGGCATTTTGGGTTAGTCCTGCCTTAAACAGGCTCCACCCACTGGAGGAATCCAGAGGCTTTTTGGATTTCCGGTTGGGCGCTCTAGGCAAGCCTCTATCTAAACGTAAGCCAGCATTCAAACAAACAGCAGGAAGTGGGCTTCACAGAACTGGACAGCAGCTTAAATACCAGCGGTGTGTACATATGTGCTAACTTTCTGACAGTTAAGCTGATTTAACTTTTTAAAGCCAACTTAGCTGCCAGAGCATACCCTCCTGTGTGGAGCAGAGTTGATGTAAAAGCGGCACAAGATAATACACCCCCAAGATAATATATTATCTTGAGTTGCATTAGTTAAGACCAAAGGTTGTCAACCGGGGGTACGTGCACCCCCAGGGGTACTTGGAAAGGAGCTAAGGGTACGTGCAGGCAGGCAGGGACGAGGCGCTGCCACCCACCAGCCTGTGCTGCTGCCTCCCAGGAGCAGAGCCAGGGGGTGGTTAGGGCACCTGCTCCCTCTGCAGGCCGCACAAGTGCTGCCTGGCTGGCCAGATGTGGGAGGGAGCTAGTAAGTGACTGCTGCCATCCACCACCCCGTGGCTCTACTACATGCAGGCCCCCCACCCAGCCACTGCCATCCACCCTGCTGCTCTGCCTAAAGTGTAGCCAGAAGGGGTACATTCCTTAAAAAAGGTTGAAAATCCCTGGTTAAGATGACCTAGCTCACAAAATGGCTGCTACCACATCAGGAAGCTGTACCCATGTACACTCCAAAGCACCTTAGGTCGACTTAGTTAAGTTGCCTTTATTTGAAGTCTATGGAGTACGTGCGCACGCACCCCAGGTTTCTTTTGGTTAAAAAAATAGCTCCCTTGGGGTTCATTCTCTGCCTGCCCCTGAGCAGTGATTCCTTTTTCTTTTGGACTGGAGGCAGGCCTCCCCCCCTTCCCTGAAGAGCAGGGTGCCCTATTTCAATAACTAATGTGAGCGCACTGCAGCGTTCACCTCCTTACACAGAGGCTGGGCTTGAGGAGGGGAGGGTGCGGTAAAGATAAGCCTGAGCCTGTGCTTTATCTGCTCATTTCCTCATACCTTGGGGCAGCTTTCCAAGGACCAGGGTCCCCCCTTGCCCCAGGCTGAGAAAGACTTCCCTGAAGCATGGAAGATACGGTATTTTAGTCATCTGGGCAATTATAAACTTCATTGCTAAGTAAGAAAGATTTCAACACCTCCCTGCCTTTCTGCCCTCTGATACCATCAGGGAAGAGAAACTGCCTTATCTCCACATCAAAGAGCAAAGCACACCAAGGGACTCTCCTGGACCCAGAGGAACAGACCTCCACCTTCAGCTTCCTCTGGACAAAATGAAGTTGATTTTCTACCTAAGAGGACTTTTACAATCTTTGATCTCCTCCCCTCAGCCTAAAGAAGGGCACGTATGCCCGAAAGGTTGCAAAGAAAGATATTTTGTTGTTGTTGCTATTTTCTAGTCGGTATAATACAAGATATCTCCTCTGAACCAAGAGCCCTTCACTTGAGCGTATTCCTGCACTACAGGTTAACCGCTTTTGAGGGCTGCAGTAAGCAGTGGCAGAGAGCTGCCTTGGAAGGCGGAAACCCTGGCACCACGTGACCGCCGCACCTCAGCCCTGCCCCCGAACGCAGCGCGCCGGAACGTTCCCTCCCCAGCCCCGCCCCGGAAATACGTAAGCCACTGCCCCGGAAGCGATTGCCGCAGCATTAGGTGTGCCTGAAGGACAGCAGCGGGCAGTATGTTCCTGACGGTGGCGGCTCGTGAGTGGGCTGCGAGAGCCGAGAAGTGCCTGGGGGGGCCGCGCGGCGGGGAACGGCAGGGCCCACGTGACACTATGTGCGGGAGGCGCTGTGGGGCTGCCCCGGCTCAACAGGCCTCACGGGCGACCTTCCAGCACTACAACTCCCAGCGGGCCTCGCAGCACTACATTAGCCGGCCCACCCCCCGTAGAACGTCCCAGCGCCAGGGGCGGTGGTTGGGAGGGGGCGGGGCTGTGGCTGCGCGAGCAGTGGTCGTTACCGTAGTTGCACAATTTTAACCCGACTGCGATGCGCGATCAATAGTAACAATCATAAAAGTGCTCAAATTAAACGGTGATTTTTGAGGAAGCTCCTTGATGGTGCAGATGCAAAACCCACGGTACTCCCAGGGAGTCTTAACCAACTTTTGGGTTTGTTGTCAGCGCTTTTGCTGCAAACTAAAGCAGACCGTCAACTTTGGCCTAGTTCTCGATGGCTTACTGGTGACCTACAGTGAGCAATATAAAGTAAAGAAGAAGAAGGTTTCTTTGGATGCTTGTTTGCATACCTTTTCCCAGAGTGTGATAATTTTTCAGCAAATGCAATCGTTTTGAGCTTCTCCTACGATACTTTCATATTTAGGGCTTGGGCCCACTGTGCTCCAGCCACGCAGGCGAGGCCTCACGTGAGCTGGGGCTCAATGCAACGCATGGCATGGCCATCCCACCCACCCGCCACAGCCAGCTGCTGCTTCCATGTGCCAGCCATGGGGGGCCTCGGACCAGGATGGCTGCAGCAGCGGCTGGTTGTGGTGGGGGTGTGGCCTTGCGCCACGCGTAGGCCCAGCAGCTGTGGTGCCAGAGTTGTGCAGTGCCAGCAGGCCTATTTGCTGCTTTCAGCCCTGTGGATGGAGCCTACTAAGGTTCTCATTGGCCTCCCTCAGGCAGGGGGAGGCTACAGGGAAAGGTGACAGCACATTCCTGGGGACAAATAATGAAAAGCAGGGATGGGAGTTGAGGTCAGAGGTGAGCACACTGCACAGCACCCGCTGGCCCTCAAACTGCCCTGTGATACTGTGCTCAGAGATGGGAGTGATGTGGGAGGGTGGGGGCAGAGAAGCCTGCACACTGCCCAGCTTGGCCTGGTGGCTGTAGTGGAGTACAGCCCTCTGTCCTCCAGCTCTTAGCAGCAGCTGGATAAGATCGGTTGGCATCTCCCTGTCGAGCTCCAGCTCACTAAAACTCTTTAAGTGGCAACTCCAGCCTAAATAAGTGGTCCTCTGCCCTCTAAGTGGCCCACCACACCTGGAGTAGGGTGAAGAAACAGGGTGCATTGCTGGAAATGGAATTAATCTGTGAGGGGAAGAAGCTTGAATTCTGGGACAGGCAGGAGGAAGCCAGTAGAGGGGATCTTGGGGTGGGAGGAGTAACACAAAGAACCCAGTCTAAGGTGGGATGAAGTGAAAGGCTGGAGAGGGAGTTGCAGTGGTTGAGACAGGAGCTAATGAGGGCCTGATTCAGAGTTTTGTGGGGAAGAGTACAGGTGTTTAACTTTTATGTTGTGGTAATGCTTATAGGCTTCAACCTGAGCAGGGCCCATGGTCCCAAGCAAGCACAACTGATGAATAGAGATGTTCTGACAGAAGACATAGTAGGATTTTGGAAGTGCATCAATTTGGAGGGCAAGAAAGTCTGGGTTTTGCAATGTAAATGGCTTTGACTCATTCCAGACTGTCCCATAGCCAACCATTATAGAATCATTGACAATTAGGGTTGGAAGCAACCTTCAGGAGGTCATCTAGTACACCCCCACCCCCTGCTCAAAGCAGGACCATCCCCAACTAGATCGTCCCAGCCAAAGCTTTGTCTAACCGGGTCTTAAAAACCTCCAAGGATGGAGATGTCATCACCTCGTTCCAGTGCTTCATCACCTTTATGGGAGGATGTAACATTTTTATGATAATATTTAGAAGATAGCAAGATAATAATATTGTTTTCCTTTTTATTTTTTTCTCTCATCTTTGTGCTGCAAAAAGTGGCCAAGAAGAAATCAAAGTAAGTGACATTTTAATAGTTTATCTCGTTATACATGATCTGCTTTCACTGTTGCCTCCAAAATTGCCCCCAAATATGGGAGGCACCCAGGTTTTCTGTCAAACATGAGATACAGGAATTTGATTTTGTCCCCCTTTGTGTATGGAATTCTTCTGGATGCTGCAGTACTGTCCCTTTCCTGGGTTACCTTATGCTTATGCAGTGCATGGAGGTGGGGTGAGAACTGAATGGCCCTGGCTTGGAGATAGGATTGGGTGGAGTGCATAATGACCCAGCAGTACTGCAAGAACTGTCTTGGTGGATAATAGAGCCTGCAGTTGCTCTCCATTTCCAGAGACCTGTCTCAGCTCTGGGATCAAACATTCATGGGGTGTCCATGGGCAGCAAAACCCCGACTGTGGAGAGAGATGACACTTGGGCTCTACAGCAGGGGTTTTCAACCTTTTTAGGTCAGTGTACCCCCGGTGGCTGGTCGAAAAGGAAGGAGTCCCCCAGTGGTCAGGGGGTGGGGGGGGAGTCCCTGTCCTACCCCCCCATCCTTCCTAAGAACCCCCAGGGGTACAGTTGAAAACCCCTGATCTAGAGCACTGGTTTTGGAACTTGTTTGGGTTGTACAACCTGCTGGGACTGTTATCTGCCTTTATCATTATGTTATGGATAATAATAATAAAAAGATGATGATCATTAAAAAATAACCCCTTCTGTCAGCACAGCTACGCTGTCACCTTAGGTTGCTAGAAAGAGAGCTTGTAGATGTCTCAATTTTTTCTTCCTTTTCCTCCATTTATGTTTGCCCTTTCCCTTCTGCTCTCATTATCTTTCTCTACAAATTTGTGATGCATCTCAGTTGGAGAAACACTGCCCGAGGTCCAGATCCTCCCTGTCAGATGGCCCTTCTCTCCTGGGTGGTCTGCTGATTTTTACAGGATTCTGCGAGGTTGGAGTCTGCTGGGGAAATTCCATGATCACCCTCCTCCTACATTATGAAGACCCTTAAAAGTCTCTTTCCAGTCTTCCTTCTGCAGAGCACCTCTGCTTTGCTAAGGAGGCTTTCTGGGTGCAGCTTGTACCCATGTATGAGAGAAGACTTTTGCTTGAGTTGTGGGTGGGTGTGTTACCTTTCTAGAAGACTACAGAAAGGTTCTGAAACTTTTCTAGGTTCTGTATTTGATGATTGTTATACTCAAGTTGCTCATACTGATTTACTGAACAAGTTTCAAGGGATGTGCCTTGTCATTTTTTCAGTTTCTAAAGTAACTTGTTACATGCAAAGTTTGCTGCTACCTTCTCCCACTGCAGGGGAAGGCCACAGAGAGCTGCAGAGAGAGTACTCTGAACACCTCATCTTGCCATTATCCCCTACTCTCTCAGGCACAGTGTTCATACGCTGTGGGGAGGTGCGGCCTGGTCCCCTAGACTGGAAGGAAAGCTGATACAATTTGGGAAAGAAGGAAGTACTACAGAGAATTGCAGAAATCTTGCCTCTGCTTTCCTGGACTTGGGGAGATAAAGTTCATAGAAACAGAAGAGGGCTCAAGTGTTGTGGCCACAATAGCACTTATAACAATTTTAGCTAGAGGTTAAAGTGATAGACAGAAGAAGCGTCATTCTGGAAGAACTGTCATCAACATTTCTTGTCATTCCTATGTGAATCTGAGGTATTTTGTACTATGCAGCTCTGAGCAAAGGAAAAACCATGCTAAAGCTGTGACCCTCTGGCATATTTCTTGTTGAATATTTAAAAATCATTCTCAAATGGAGCTGGTGCCAGCCACCTGCTGGGTTTGAAGTGGCGCTTCTGTTACGGTGTTTCTGCACAATTGCCAGGGCTTGAAATTCAAAGTGCAATTGTTTTGACAGAGAGGATATCAATTTGACATCACCCTAAACAACAACTCGTCTGCCATTACCCACTCCCAGAAATGAACAGAGCAGGCTGATGTTTCCTGGAGGAGGAGGGGATATAAATCGGTTTCACTAACCGAAAACTTCTTTCTGTTCCTCTCTTTTCTTCTCTCTGTGCTGCTTGTTTTCCTTGAAAAGGGAAAAGTTTATTTTTAAAACTGAGCACATCCCTCTTTGCTTTGTGTTTTCGTCCTGGTTCTCTCTCCATCCATTCAGTGGTGGTCCTCTGGCCCTTTGTCTCTCCTTTCTGGGGCACTCCCCTTGCTCTTTTCCATTCTTCTAGGGTTAGGTTTCCTTATTGAGCAGGACGTATTTATAACAAGGTGGGCTGCTCAGAAAGAACATGGTTTAAGCTGTATAACAGGAAACAATTTCAAGCCAAAGTTCTTCTGGTACCACTGGATTAGAAAGGGGAACCTCTGCCCAGGAGAGGTTTGAGGAAGTGGGAAGGTATAAGAGGAGTTTTTGTGGTTGCTGCCTGCTACACATGACACCTGCAGTAGCACACAGGAGAGGATGGTCATCACTCGTCAGGGACACCCCCTGGATTGTGCTGGGGCTGTTGTTGTGAGAGAGGTTAGTGGTTGTGCTTTGAACACTTTCAGGTTTGTTGATTTAAAATCAGTACAGGCAGAGCTCTATGACATTTGCTGGCAGGAGTCATGCTGCAAAAATTTAAAATCTACTGTGATTTTAATTTTGATGGACAATACTGTAGTCAAGGCAGGAAATGCCAGGACAGAGGCCTTTTTCACCTGCAAGTCCATCCTCAGATAATTTCAGTGCAGTGAAAAGGAAGAGATTGCTACTTGTGGAACAGTTGGGGAGCTTGATTTTATTTTTCCTTTCCTAATCTTAGCTTGCCCTGGGATCCTGGGAATTAGGCACATCTTTAAATACTTATGGATTTGCAGGGAAACCCAGTTGTCCTCATGTTGCACCTTGCTTTCTTCCACATGTGTGGGGTATGATAGCTGTTGCCCATTTCCTTTCCAGTTAGTGTGATCTACAGTATTGTGTGGTCAAGATGCTGTGTAGAGTGACCATACCACTAGTCTTGCCTTTTGAGTGCTGTTCCTGTGGTGTACCCGTGGAAATACAGAGGAAGGACAGCCAATGCCATGGTGTTGTTTCTCCATTTTGCATTTTCTTCACTGTATCTGTGCCTGTTTCTCTCTGCTCTCAGACATGGACAGGACAGTTGGGTCCTATATTGAGATGCTGTGCCTCGATGCCTTGAACCACCCTCTCCCCTTAACTAAAGTAACCAATACAGTTTAGTTGTGTGTTGATGTTGCTTAATTTTGGGGGCCACCTCTGCCTTCAGCTTCTGATCTTTTTAGTAGTAGTGCACATAAGGCTGATACTGTACAATATGACTATGGGCTCTTTGTAATATCGTGCAGATTTTAACAGGAAGATTTGAAATCTCATACCCTTTGGTCCTTAGCATCCCACTCATTCTGAGTGGCACCACTTTTGCTTCTGGGCTCTTGAACCATTTCCCTCTTTCAGGTAAAATATGTTTTTTTTCCTTCCTTTGTACCACTCCTTTCCTATGCTGTAATTCTTGCTACTTGTGGATCTGCTGGTACAAGGTATTAATGTTTCAATATGCTTTCCCTATGTCCCTTGCACATGACTTGTGTTTTGAAGACAGAGAGATCAGAACTGTCATCCAAATTTCCATGAGGGTTTCACAGAATTTTCCCAACAGAGTCCAAACCTACAGAGCCCTTTAAAATCAGCAGCCTACCCAGGAGAGAAGGGCCATCTGACTGGGAGGATCTGGGCCTCTAGGGCAGCATTTTCTCAAACCTTGGTCTCCTGAGCATCAGTCCTGCTGTTTAAGCATCAGTTTTACAGGCTTGGCAATATTGAGCATCTGCATCATCCACTGAAGAAATCCATGGAAGCTGTAGTGGCTTAGCACGTCTTGAGATGAAACCCATGGTTAATGTTTTTAGCTAAAGTTAATGTTTTATTATCACTAACTTCTTCTTAATGGATATAAAGTGGTTAAGAGAAATGTCTCATTTCACACACTGCACATCAGCAGGTCCCCAACTAAAATCTTGTGTTATTCACTGATGTCTGCATCTGCTATTGACCTTGGAGATGTTTCTTGTAATTTTAGGTACATTCTTGTGAGGATGGTCAGTGAGGCGGGGACAGGCTTCTCTTTCAACACCAGGAGACTCCGACTGGAGGATAAACTGACTCTGCTGAGATACGATCCCTCCGGTAGGAATATGGGAAAGAAAGCAACTTGCTATCTGGCAGTCATGTTCACTCTTCTCAGATGTTGAGTAGGAAAAAATGTGGATGTAACCAAATTATCTAATATAAACCAAGTAATATTTAGTGTTTTGCATATTCACACTACTGTACAACTGTTGTTTCTACCAACATTCCAGTGAAATAGGAAGGAAATATTATCTTTGTTTTACAGTAACATCAAGTAGTAACCTGCTCAAGATTTCACAAGAAGAGTGACACAGTCGTGATTAAAACTTAAAAAGTACTGCATGTTGTTTCTGCTCTTTTCACTAGATTATGTTGTCCCCCGCAGAAAAGCTGTGCAGGTGTAGGGAAGTTCAGCTTGAATTGCCCTGGGGCTTTCTAAACAAGATCAGTAACTTCTCACAACTCCTTCATAATGGGGTGGGTTTTTTTGCCTCTATAAGTAGGGATCTACTTAATTCTTACTGAGGCAAGGGAAAAATTGCTGGCTGCATGCAGTGCCATTTTCATGGTCTTTTTATAACCCCCCCCACCCCCAACTGGCTCTGGCAATCCTGCCCTTTGCTGCTGATTGGCCAAGAGGGCTGCCCATAGTGTGGCCCTGCCCTTCACTGCTGAGAGGCAGGGCTGCATGATAGGCAGTCCTCTCGGCCAGTCAGCAGTGAGGGGAGGTGGGGACAATGCAGCCATTATTGTTGATCTCCCTTCGTGGTGGTAGGTTCCCTCACTCTTCCCAGCGGGCTCTGAGGGCAGGCCTCAGTGGCCTTGAGGACCACCAGCATTTTATTTTTTAAAAGTTTTTTTTCTTTCCTGGCAATGCTGTGCCAAAATTGTGGGGACTGCCATTTTTGTGGTGTTTGCTGAAACTTTTTTCCATGGTTTCTGTGAAAAACACAAGATCACAAATAGGGCAGATTCCTACATATAAGTACAGGCCCCTATAAGACACTTCTTTAAATTGCAGTTATCTGCTGTGTTCCACTTACCTTCATTCTTGCAATTAAACAGCCTGACTTAATGTACTTCTTGGGCATCTTTGGTACTTGCCAAGAGTTCTTTTCAGCTGTGTATCTTAGGAGGTGGCTATAGAGGTGGGGGTTTCTTGGGAAAGCACCATGCTGGGACTAACAGTGCATGGTGTTTTTGAGGGGAAGCTAAATGAGGGACACCCAAAAAAGGTGAAAGCAGGTCTGAAATAGCATGGGAGAGGTAATAGGGATCCTAGCTGTCGGTGCAAAAACTGGCAATTTGTTGCTTAACTAGGGAACAAGATGATGATTAACATTTGATACACTCTGATCAGACAGCCTGAAGTATTCAAACTACTTGCATCTCTGGGAGGTCCCCTTGACTGGTACCAAAGTCTGATTAAAAAAACCTGGCAGCAGAAACCATTATTCCTCCAGTGAATTTTATGTGCAAAGTGGAACCATAAATCAAACAGCAGTGGATTTAATGTTCTGGGTTGGAAAGCCAGTTTGTTAATTTGAGATATATTTTATTGCTTGAGAATATTCCACCAAGCTGACTACTAGAAACCTTACTATTTGCATGCAGCGTGTTACAAAGTGGAGTTCCTAGCCCAGCAGGAGTTTTGTGGCAGACTAGCCTGAAATAGGTCATGAAATAAAACTGGGAAGCGATTTGAAATGGTGTTGTGGTTCCAATCTGATGGAGGAAGAAATACGTCCTTGTAATCTCTTTTATGTCACACACAAATAAAAGTGAGAAATGGAGGCATGTGTGACAAGCAGGTAAATTTGAGTCTGGTCATTCACTCATATCAGGAGCAGCATTAAGTGTAGTTTCAGCCCATATGCCCTTTCAGTATATGTTCTTTTGGTATGTTGCACAAACAGCAAAACCTGCAAATAGCGAAGCTCTTCTACTGAGGTGGAATAAAAGTCCCAAACTGTTTCAGTACATCATAATGTGAAGATTGTGGTCATAGTTAGGCTCCACTGATCAGCATAGCAAAACTTATGTGGGAAGAATGATTTCACTGTTATGTACGTTGTCATGTGCATGGAGTTCTCCAAATGAAATGGCAACATTGGGTTCAGTGTTTGTTCTTTTGACAGTTCCATATGAAATGTGCTCAACTGACAAGTGAAATGACTTTTCTAACTTTGTCCTGAGATGCTAGTCAAGCTCAAGTTGCAGCTTATTCATCACTGAAGTCTCAGGTAGTTAACCTTTCGTGATCTGTAAACCAGATTAGAACCCAAATTGCTGTTCCTTAGCTGTTGGGACTCTGCAGAGCTGAGAGCAGTAGAAAGCAGGAAAAACCTATTTTTGTCCCTACATTGAGCAGATGTGACTCAGAATAGACATGGGGAGCAGCTGCTTAGTATAAAGGTTCCATTTTCAGTCATTTAAATCCTGCTATTCATCTTCACAGGGGTAATATACACTCCTGTGCAGTAAAAATTACACGCTGTAAAGGGAAGGCAGCCCTAAAGTGTTTAAAAGCAAGTTGGCCAACAACAGAACTGTGTCAATCATCAGACATTCTGTATTTATTTAAGCACTGTGACCAGCAGAACTGGTCTGACTTTTTTTTTTTTTGTAAATTTTAACATTTGAGTTTTCTTACCTGCTTGTTT